TGTCATGAATGGTAGGTAAACGAATCTCAATGCCACAAGTTGATACAGTTGGAAAATTTCCATACTTCAAGAAAAGGATTGTGATGCTTTTTTCAAATCCAAGAAGTGGAATTCTGCTCATCTCATTCAAAAACAGAAGGACATTAGACAAGTCACAACCAGAGATACCTTCCTCTACAATAGAATAATAACCATGCATGTAAAATACACTTATTAAAATTTCAAACCTAACATAGCAATCATCCAAGAAGTCTACAAAAAACATATAGGTTCTTTCTTCCAAGGGACTGTCAACACTTCCTTTAGCTGAATACTCCACAGACAACATACCATTTATGATATCTTAATTTAGTAATAAAAAATAATTTACAAGATACAAATACTACTAATTCCTACCAGGAGTTAATTCCTTGTCTGTTTTTATAAAATAAGGTCTCCAAATATGAGAATCGGCGATCAGCTTTAACAAATGATAAAAATCCAGAAGTTTGAAGACCTGCATATTGATCTAATTCAGCCTTTACCTTGGCAATAAGGTGATAATTTAGCAGAGCATTTCTGATTTCCTAAAGCCAGTGGCTAGCAGTAAGTCCAATGATTCATCAATGGAGCAGCTTATCTGGATGACATCATCAGTTTCTGCTTCAAGGACCTACAAAAATACAACAGTAATGATGTGTCAGAGTGAAGTTAGCAAGTTACTTTATTGACAAGGAACTTGAGTGCCTGATCAGGTATATTATCGACAGAAACAGTTGATGTATCTATGGATTGATAAACCAAGTAATTGAAGAGTGAGTCGTGCATGAGTGGGAAGCCATTTCCTCCATAAAGAACGGACAGAACGAAATAGACACCCAAGTAATAATACTTTCGATTCTAATGAGATGGAATAACAAGTATTAGACAACATGTATATACTCCATACCTGAACACCAGTAATAATATTAATTAAAAATCTTGATCCATTATCTGCTCCAGAAAAGTAATTGTTTGAAACATCAGGAGCTAAAAGATGAAAAAATTTTCTTTTCAGACCTCCATGGTCAATAGCTGATTCACCAACAAATCTAATCTAATAAAACTTTGAAACTATTAATGATAAGAATTTTTTTGTTACTTTGAGCAGTTGATTAGGATTTAATTTCTTTTTAGCAGCTTGCCTCATAGCATCTATTAAGACAAAACCTCTACACACATCAAGGAACATAGTTTCATCTGTATCAATTTGCTTCTTTATTTCCGCAATTTTCATCATTAAAGGAGCTTGTTCATTGCAGGCTGCTGTGATTTCCTTGCTACTCTGTTCCATCACAGTTTGAACAATGTCATTCTCTAGTTCAAGCTAAAAAATACAGGATAAAAATGGGGTTGATTGGCACTTGCCACATTGAATGATGTGAACTAGCCCTTCATGTAGTATTAACACTACGTGTATCATAGATTGGAAATATTTCATTCTCTTTTATCATAACTGCTTTGTATTTCCATAATTTTTTTATGCATTATAAAAATACATGTATTTCATGTGTTAAAATTTACTGTTGACCATCAAAATAAAAGAAGTTTAAGTAAAAATTGACCAATTTATAATTTACACACAGAGCCAATTCTACTTACTACAGCATCAAAATAGTACTAAGAATCCTCAAGTGAATCAAATTCCTTCTCACTATAACAACAATTACTCAAGTATTGAATGGTATCACTTACAAATCATTTTTGATTCCAGTATTCTTCTCCTTTACTCTATAGAAATTATTATAAAAATGGCTATAAAATACAACAAGGCATATCAATGAAGGCACCCACTTCGATGATGACTGTCCATATTCATCTGTAAGATCAATTTCTACTCTGTACACAATAGAATGAATCGTTTAATAATTCAAAAGTATGAATTTCATACTTTTGTCCACATGAAGAAAGATGACTAGCCAGTTTTCCTAAATTAAAATACCACACTTCAAACATTCCTCTTCAGACTAAAAATTAATGCAAAATTAAACAAAATTATTAGTTGACAATTGACATACTCCACTAGGTAAATCAAATATGGCAGACAACCCCAAATCTTGTTGCAATGGACGTATATATGTGCGCTTTGTAGTACCAACTATAGTCTTCAGTGCCAATGGAGACAACAGAGTAACGGGAGATAAGACCTCCATATTACGTGAATTGGGGATGCATTTCAAAAACTCAAATCCTCCACATCTCAGGGGTGGAAACTTGTCATGCAATAAATCTCGAAATGCTTCAGCTCCTATCTCCATGTAAAAGAATTCCACTTCCTTTTCCACAAGACCCGCTCGCAGTAGGTCATCCTTTTCTTTCTCTGTTGTAGGAATTCTAGTCTGCCCACAGTATGCTAAACAAAAAAAACTGCTTCCAGAGACACTTGCTGGACTCCCCTGACTTAGCAGCAGCCTTGGACCTCTTAAAGATATACAATACTTCATCCTTTGCCTTTCTCTTAGTGGGAGCTTTAGACTTCAATCTTTGACTATTATTAAAAGTAGCAAGGCAACGATCAGCTGCAGCAAGGGCTACAAATAAAGACATAGTCGGATTCATTATTATACCACACTATAAATTAATTTTTTTCAATTTTATTCTAAATGTAAAAAAACCAATGATAAACATTTTTCTGATAGCAAAAAAAGGCCCTACACATAAAGTCACTCAGTGAATTGATAAAGACAACTCTTTTACATAACTCAAATTGCCAAGAATAACTTGAATTCATAGGGTAGTACCTAGTAATTCACACATGCATTTAGAGACTTACCATCATCTGAACTGCTTCTCATTGAGATTGTGTCGGGTATATTTAAACCAGTAAGATTTTGAATAGCCTTAGTTGCCTTCTATAACTGATTTGAACTCAGCCTGTCATCACCCTGTCCTGCCCTGTTTCAAAACACGTGGTCTCGTGATATGAGAGGCAGGGCTTATTAAGGCGTGGTCATGCTCACACAGATTGATTTTTTAAGATCAATTTCTAAAAATTGATTTGCAAAAGTCGATTTTTAAACATCGATTTTTTAAAATTGATTTGCAAAAGTCAATTTTTAAACATCGATGTTTAAAAATCAATTGCAATGGTCAATATTTTTTAAAATCAATTGGAAAGAGTTGGTCTTATTTTTGTCGCATTTGGCGTTCCATGCTGCTTGCAATGGAAGTTGCCAAATGCCATGCCTTTTACAGTCTCCAGAGCCATCCATCACTTGCTTTAAAACTAGTTGATTCATTATGTATTCTCTGCGACAGATCAACAGCTTTTTCACATAAGTGGCCCACTAACTTGTTCACCTTTCATCCTTTCAAACCAGAGGTAAACGTATTGATCAAGCTAGATCATCACTTATTTTTATTGTCTTGGTTTTTCTACTCATCCCCATCTCTTCAATATTCTTCTTAAACTTCAGTATTGTACCTTTGTTCTTTTTTATATCACCGACAGTGCTCTTTCCTATTGCAAACTTTTCTGCTATCACTGAGTATGAAACACCACTGCCTTATTTTTAATATCTGTTGTTTTTCTTCAATAAGAACAACTTTTTTACGCTTCTTTTTCTCCGCTGCTTTTGATTTCACTGGATCATTGCTTTCTGCAGCAACTGCTGCAGCACCTGTGTCTTCTCCATTTAAAAGGTAATTAAACTTATAATATTAATTGATTATCAATTAAAATTAATATTAAAAAACTAATTAGTTAATGATGGCTTCCACATGGTCACTTTATGTTATAATTTTTGAATCCAGATAATTGTGGGTCCGGATAAAAGGGGTCCAGACAAATGGGGTCCGGATAATCGAGGGTCCACTGTAGTGATAATAATGAAGATGGTAGTATACTGCATGAATATAATGGTTTGGATGATAGCATAATAGTTGTATTCTATATACTAGTATTGTTAACAGTATTGTTACAATTTTATGTAATTATTATGTTGCTAATTATGTTGTACTGTATATAGTTAAGTCGTTTCAATTCTGGGACAGGTTCTGTCATGAGCCACATAAATGAAGGCTGCTAAATGAATTGGTTAATAATAAACATAACACACATTGCCTTTTACAAAATATAATTCTCGGAAAAATCAGTATGATTATGGTACGAGTGTCTAGTAAAATGCAATCATAACCTTTTAATTTTAGTTATAATCCTACAATAATTATGCTGCTTGAATAACCAAATAAAACCAAAGATATTTTGGCTTTCCTGTATTTGGCAACACCCTAAAGACTGCTGCAATACTGGAAGAAAAAGTGATGGCACCTCAGGTCACCACGTACAACATACATTATTATCTGAACAATAAAACTTTTTTTATGTGACCCAATACAAATAAACTGTTAGTTCAATACTTATTACAAATGTGACACATCCAATCATCAATATCGTCAAGTTCGCTTTCTTCTATCTCAGCACAAGAGCAATGATACCATTCCTGACATAAATCACACATGATCATCATTTGTCATAATTTTCTGGCAATCTGCAATAACAGAAGATTTTTACTTCATAACATAGTCCCCTAGGTCATGGGAGTGGTTCAACTTTGTTTTTGGAATGGTATTACACTTTTATTAATAAAACACTTGTATAAGTGATTTCTCAGTTGACCCAGATCAAAACATGAATTCTCTAGATTGTTGCCATCGCCCACGCCGTAGGCGTATAGGCGAGGGTACTGTGTTCGTTCTGTCAGTGTGTGTGTGTTCGCAATATGGCGTCTTTTTCTCTGTTTTCAAATCCTAGCTGCTCTTTGCTCAGGTCCTGTGAAGTGCCACTGTCAACTAAAATAATTGCCAGAAGTAGTTTTTCTTCAGTTTACTTCTTTATCTGTCTTCTCCTTGGCAGCATGAGCCAGTAATGTTGCTAAACATAGTCAGGATTCCGGGTAACTCTCTCATGACGAAGGTAATAATGCAATAGAACACACCAAACAATAGATTGAAAGTTTTTATTCATTTCATATGTGGGAAATTTGTCTTAAATTCTTAATTTCTGAGATATGGTAGCTCAAACATCGCTTACCGCAACAGTTTACATGAGGTCCTGTTCTTCAGGAAGATGTCAGAGTCTTTTAAACTGTAGATTCTTACTATCAAGTTTGTATACAACAAATTGAGCCAGATTATTGCGTAAAAAACTGTGTATAAGTGTAGAAAACTGAAGCTTTTTACCAGTAACTGTCCATTGTGTGTAACTATGAAGTAGGCGGTGCTTAATTTGAGCCACACCTTTAATTGCTGCAGCAAAGCAATGCAAGGCTGAGCAAGCTAACACGTACAGTAACAGTAAGTCAGCAGCATTCTCTCTATAATTTTTGAAGAACAAATTAATGTTTCATTTGTGTTTTTGTAGTATCCCAGAAATCACATGACTGTAGAACCCTGAATTGTAATAAATGTAATGTGCGCCTAGACTTAATTATTGGTTGTATGTCTTGTCTGTAATAGATCCCTTCTTAATAATTTGTGTTAATGTGAAACTATTTCATAATTTGTGTCATAGTATATAAATGTTTGATTCTGTTGTTTTGGTTGATCTTTTGATTGTTAATAATCGTATCTACAAGAGTAATATACTGCAGTTATGTCACGCTAATTGTGGCGAGGGCATGTGCTATAGTGCATTCGTTTCCTAAACAATGCTCAACAGCAAAAGTGATACAAAACAGAGCACAGTCAGTATAGCCTTCTTGCTGTTGTACTGCTATGATATCAATATACATGTGAAATGAGATTCACTGTTGCCTTTCTTAACCTTGCGTACAATTGCAAAGAATCCATAACTGTTACTGTGCCTGGTGTCATAGCACATGTGCATATCCAGTGATTCTTTCCTGGAAACAATTATTTTCCTTGTTTTATATAAGAGCAGAATAATAACTAACCAACAAAGAGAAGTTGAATTGCAGAATAAGAACTTATAACATCAAAATTGATTTTCTTTTCAAACAATGTATCTTTCCAACCAGAAATGTGAGGATATTGTTGCTTGAGAAGAACTTGGGCAGCATTAATTATATTGTCAGTGAGACGAACAGTCGATTTTAATGATTCTATGTCTGCATTATAGAGTTTTAAATCTTTGATCCACCACTGATCAAGATCTATTGTAAAAATAATTTTTATCAAAATTTTACTAGATGCAAATTAGGAGGCTGTGTTAAATACAATGGGGAATTTACAACCAATTATGATTTGTGCCTGTGTTGAACTACACTCATTGCAATGCCAAAAATTTTGATAATATCAATGAACTCCTGCTTAATAATTTATACTAGCATGCATCTTCTTTGTCTTTAAGTAAACTACATGCAGATCTAGAGCTACCTATTAGAATGTTGAAGAATGATTTATAAATGTACACGTAAATATGTATTTACATGTACATACCTTTCTTCCCTCCTATACTCTGATTTATTGATTCACAATCTGACAGTTCAAAATAATCATGTATTAATTATTATAAACATAATAACAAAACATGCATGATGCACCTCTTGCTTTTCTATACACTTCTGATTCATTCATAATTGGACTGTGGCTGAATATCTGAAGGCTGCAAACAACAACAATAATAACAATGACAATTATAACTTACTCTTCCTCCGTACTCTTGTTCCTGTTTTTGTAGAAGGCTCTGACTCATAATTGGATTGTGGCTTAATATCTACAGGCTCTAAACAACAATCATAACAACAACAATAACAATAATAACAACTATAATAACTTACACTTCTTCCGTCCTCTTGTTCTTGTTTTAGTAGAAGGCTCTGACTCCTCATCTGACTATGGCTCAATATCTACATGCTCTAACCACAACAATAATATCAACAACAACAATAATGACAACAATAATAATAACTTACTCTTCTTTCATCCTCTTGTTCCTCTTCTAGTAGAAGGCTCTGACTCATAATTGGACTGTGGCTGAAGATTTACAGGCTCTAAACAACAATAATAATAACAATAATAATAATATCCAGGAGCCCATCTTATTTAAGGGCTCCTGTAATTGCTTACTCTTCTTTCGTCCTCTTGTTCCCATTTCTGCAGAAGGTTCTGACTCATAATCGGATTGTGGCTGACTATCTACAGGCCATAAAAAACAAAAGTAACAACAACAACAATGATTTTAACTTACTTTTCTTCTATCCTCTTGTTCCTGATTTTGTAGAAGCCTTTGACTCATAATCAGACTGTGGCTGAATATCCACAGGCTCTAAACAACAATAACAAAAATGACAATAGTAATAACTGACTCTTCTTTCGGCCTCTTATTCCTGTTTTCATAGAAGGCTCTGACTCAAAATCAGACTGTGACTGAATATCTACAGGCTCTGAACAACAATAACAAAGAAAGTAATAGTTAGTTACTCGTCTTTCGTCCTCTTGCTTTTGTAGAAGGCACTGACTCAAAAGCAGACTGTGGCTAAATATCTGCAGGCTCTAAACAACAACATTAACAACAATAATAACAACAATAATCACTTACTATTCTTCTGTCCTCTTGTTTCCGTAGAAGGCTCTGACTTTTAATCGGACTGTGGCTAAATGTCTACAAGCTCTAAACAACAATAACAACAACAATAATAATAATAACAATAATATGTTACTCTTCTTCTGTCCTCTTGTTCCTGTTGTTGTAGAAGGTTCTCACTCATAATCCGACTGTGGCTGAATATCCACAGGTTCTAAATAAAAATAATAACTTACTCTTCTTCTTCTCTTGTTTTTGTAGAAGGCTGTGACTCATAATCAGACTGTGGCTGAATATCTACAAGCTCTAAACAATAATAATTACAATAACATCAATACTAATAACAATAACAATAATACCTTAAGCCTACTATTACTTGCGTCAACTAATTTTAGGAAAATAAAAAATTATTAGTAAGTCATGTTAAGCATTACTAATTTCCGCGTTTTAAACTAAATTATCTATAAATAATAACCATTATAATTATTTTAGCGTATATTTAATTTAGCTGTTTAAAGCTTACTCACTAATATAGCTAAATTTAGTAGACGCTAAAAAAAGTATAGGCTTAAGGTAACTTGTTCTTTCCCCATCCTGTTCCTGTTTTTGTAGAAGGTTGTGACTCATAATCAGACTGTGGCTGAATATCCACAGGTTCTCAATAACAATAATAACTACAATACATGTAGTAACATGAAAAATAATAACAATAATAATAACTTACTCTTCTTTGTCCTCTTGTTTTTGTAGATGGCTCTGACTCATAATTAGACTGTGGCTGAATGTCTACAAGCTCTAAACAACAATAATAACAACAAAAATAATTAACTTACTCTTCTTCTGTCCTCTTGTTTCTGTTTTTGTAGAAGGTTCTTACTCATAATCAGACTGTGGCTGAATATCCACAGGCTCTAAATAGCAATAATAACTACGACAATATATGTAATAACAAAAATAATAATTAAATCTTCTTCCATCCTCTTGTTCCTGTTTTTGCAGAAGGCTCTGACTTGTCATCTGACTGTGGCTGAATATCTACAGCTCTAAAGAACAATAATGATAACAACAACAATAATAACAACAATAATAATAAACTTACTCTTTTTCCGTCCTCTTCCTGTTTTTGTAGAAGGCTCTGACTCAGAATTTGACTGTGGCTGAATATCTACAGGCTCTAAACAACAATAATAATACCAACAATAACAATAATAACAACAGTATTAATCAGTTACTCTTCTTTCGTACTCTTGTACCTAAAGCTCTGACTCATAATCGGATTGTGGCTGAATATCTACTGGCTCTAAACAACAATAATAACTTACTCTTTTTCTGTCCTCTTGTTCCTTTTTTCGTAGAAGGCTCTGACTCGTAATCTGACTGTGATTTTAATTGATGTTATTGTACATAAAAGTACAAAACTTGCAGTGCAATACCTTATCCTCTCAATTCGGCAAAAGAACAATCCAACTCAAAATCTGACTGAACATTTAATTCACAATCAGTTTCAACTTCACTTTGAAAACCATCACTATCCTCTAAATAACTTGATTTTTTGCAAATGATACTTCGATGCCTGATGCTTTCGACTGCTGCACTTTTTGCTTCCTACTCGATCTTGTTTCCTCATTTCTTTCAGTTGAGCCTCATGCTGTTTCTTTTCTTCATTTTCTTTCATTAATCTAATGCTATCCTGACAAGTAACAACTTTGCATAATGCCTTTTCATCTACCTGTGACTTTCATGGAGATACAGGAGGAATACAAAACCTTGAAATTTTGGAACTATCATGACTTGCTGCAAAAGAACTTACTTTAAATGACCCAGAACTTTTCTCTAGAAGGTATTTTTCAAACCCGTCTAATGACTCATCCAGTTCACTATGAGCAGATTTGCTAACATCAGCACAACAGCTGCGAGATGGGCTATACAAAGGAAGGTGCTTGATGCCATTCTTACGAGCCAAATTGAAAGGTTGAAAGAGAGAAAACTTATTCTGAATCAGGCTCTGTAGTTGATACCTATTTCTCTACCACAGACTTATTATGTGGACATATTCCTGTTACTTTAAAACTAGACTGAATATTCTTTACTGAAAATGCCCTAGCCCAAGCTTAAAAATAATTCCAGAAAAATCATAAAGTGAGAAAGTTGCTTTTTCAGGGTTACAAAAAATTCATGGCAAAGATGTCTCCATGCTACTTTCAGAGGACCAAAGCAACCCTTATCAAGTGCCTCAGTAATGTGGGTCGTGTTGGGTGGAAGAACAAATGCAATAACTTTGAGAGGCAGTTAAGCAAATGGTTTCTGGAGAGTAATGTGTAGCATGCCCACCCATCAGTAAAAGTCGTCGAACTTGTGGGGCATACAATAAGAAATGTTCTTTGAACCAATAATAAAGAAGATCCTTTGTCATCCAACCATTTTCAGAGAGCCCATATAAAGTACCAGGAACTTCATTTTTTGTTAGCTCTGGATTAAGGGACTTCATTTGATTATAACAAATGGAGGGATGACATAGCTAGCAGCACAGGTACAAGCATGAACAGTCACTTGAGCTTTAGTGTTGGATGTTATATAGCTTGGGTTTTTTATCCTTTTTTATCTACAATTTTCAAACATTTGGGATTCAATGGCATCCCAGTTTTCTCACAATTAAAAATGTGGACTTGTCTTTTTAGAATGTCATTATTTGTCAATATTTCTTCTAGTGTGCCAAAGTACTTATTCAAAATTACTGGATGAGTTGCAGCAGCTCGAACATATGACGGTGGCATAGCCATTTTTAGAGTCATTTGGGGATGCCTTTTGCAAAAGTGTTCCCACCACCCATTTGTAACTGAAGTACAAATACCACGAGCACTGACAATTCTTTAACTTGCCTCTTTCTACAAGGATAACCTATCTTTGCAGTTTTAATGAAAAAACAAGCCAGTTCTTCCTCATTTTTAAAACTTAAATAATAGCTAGGACCAGGACGGGCTTCAAAGTCAGTTTTGCCCATCACTCTGTCATGTAGAGTAGACTTAGGGACAGAGTACTTTTCAGAAGCCATTCTTAATGACATAGCATCTAACAAATTAGATTAATTCCATTATTGTTTAAATACAGCATACTAAAGCTGGAAATTTGGAAGGAATAAACTTTACAGATCCACTCAAAAATCATATACATGGATTTGTAATTTTCACAAATCCTAACACTCCACCACTGGAAACACATTACAATGTACATGCAGCGGGAAACTTTGACGGGAATAAAATTTGGCAAATTTGGTGCTTTAATTGCCATTTGCCAAGATAAAATCTGCCATTTTGAGCCAATATACGCATGCTCAATAGCATGTGGCCATTAATTTGCCAAGTTAAAATTTACCAATCACCAAATATCAGCAATTTGCCAAATTTAACTTGCTCCAAAATTTCCTGCTATTAAATATCTAGAGTTTTGTGAAATTTAATCTGAAACAAGACATGAAATCAGCAGAAGTTAAGTCCTTCAGCTATACAGTATGTAAGCCATGAAAAACAATAGAACCCATCAAAGAGTAAGCAAGGCTAATAATTTTTTTTCAATAAAAATACCTTCCTCAACATCTTTTGCAGCCTTTTGCATACTTTTGTCATTCCATTTTTGGTATGATCCACGAGGCTGTCCATGAAGCGCACTCATCAAGACATGGGCTATGTTGTGTTTGCACTTTGCTTTTTACAATTCTTTTCACAAGTGGTGCATGTGGAAACATAACCTAAGTTTTTACTAAAATAATTTCGATCAAAATTGAAAACTAAGAACAGTGCATGCATTGTAGCACCAAGTCTGGCAATGTATTCTAGCTAGGAATGTGGCTATCATGCCCAAAAATCACAGTTATTCCATAATGCAAGTTATTTTATTATTCATACACTAATTTATATTGCAATAGTTTAATGAATATTATATAGACCGCCTAGGTGCTAAGATCATTTACAATGAATAAGATTACAATAATGGTATTCATTCAAAAATAAATAAAATTTTTCTATACGGTATCCACCCACGGTGTAAGTTACTGACGCCAAGGCCTCGAGATCATAAGAAAATTGAAGGCGGTGACACCGCCTGCCCTTCTTTCAGAGTGCTACTAGGTACTATGGGCTTACAAGCAGCATTTATGGAAAGTATGGAGGCCAGACTACATCATATAGACCAGGTAACTCTTGCTGCAGCATAGGTTTCCTGCAGTGCTTCATTTCTATGCTTCATTTTGGCACCCTGGGCTTTGATCTGCCTTTCATGTGGAGAGCTTGCCATCTGAAATTTTATTCGTAAGTGTCTACTGTAACAAATTCATACAAAATAGTCTTAGCGCCTAGGGGGTCTATATCAAGCAATCAACCCGCATCAGCCCTTCCTGTAAAATTTGAATTGGAAACAAAGGGTCTAATTGGGAGGTGTCATTATTTTACCTTGATATGCATGTTTTAAGTGGCAGCCATTTATAATTTAATGGAGTCAATTTTATTGTAAGTATTTGATTATTTTGGCATAATGCTGTCCTAAAATTCTGCCCATTATTCTTATTTCAGTTTGAAAACTTCTCAGGAACAAATTACAGAAGAATGAATCAAGCATAGTGAATTTCACGAAAGTTAACTGAGCTTTAAACACGTTTCAGCCAAATTTTAAGTAAAACACATGATCTGTACAGCTCCGTAAACTGATAATGTAAGTGTGCTAGTCCTGTCCCTTTTCTTTTACTTGTGGAGGTCTTTCCTGTGACAAATTTGTTGATAAGAGTAACGGTTGATGTATGTCTTTATGTAAAAGGTCAAAATTATTGCTCTGGCCTGTGTATTCTTTAGAGTCCCTGTCCGTAAAATGATAATTATTAAAGTTTGCAGTCTATGGACATGGTTTTGGCTCTATAACTTTTAATCCAGATATCATTCCAAGTCCAAAAGTGGTACGTGGGCATAAATAGGTTAGATGTCTTATTTGCAAAAAAAAATAAGTTAGAATATGCAGTTTTTCCTATGATACTGTGTCCGAATAATTGATCTGTATGGTACATGGTCGCTGACTCTACTTGATACTATTGTTTCTTCCTTTCTCATTTTTATAATAATAGGGTAATCCTGAAGTGACTGACCTGATTGAGTTTTTGTGATTCATAATTGTTTTAAAATGTTTTATGTACTACATCTCTTAATTCGTTTTTTCTAGTATAGTTTAAAATACCAGCATTGACTGATGACACACTTCTAATCATTTAGAGTTACATATTG